TGACCACTTCAGTGATTTGAATTAGTCATGGTGCCTGGAGTCTGTTCGTACATTCTAAAAATGTGGCTCATATTGAGATGAAACCCTTTACAGCTGGAGGAGTAACTCCTCCCCTACCACGTCGTTGGGGTGTTATTAACCATCCCAGAACAATAGTTCTGGACTAGATAATGTGAACTTGGGGACGTCAGCCCACGCAACATGCTGATGCTAGACAGCCAATTGTGGTACACCACCCCTCCATGTGCCATCCATTTCCTCCCCTCAGCCTGCCATCAACATTTGGTGCATAAACTTCCTTATTGTACATAAAATATAAGTAATAGTAGGACACATGCTTATTAAATACTGCTCACTTTTTGTGTTGAGCTGTAACTACAATAAACACTATTACTAATACAAATTGCCACAGGAAATGTCTAATTTACAAACTTGCATTACAATTTTGACATTTCAAAGTTCAATCAGTAAATCAAATACATCACAGAGGACTAATAATCTAGATGCAATATTGTGGTAAATTGAAAAAACTAAATTAAATTGCAAGTATATGCATATTCTGTTTTATATGTTGGGCTAGTTATAAATGTTGGTGTTTATTTTTAAAAAATGCTTATTTCCACATACAGGCTGGTCCTATAAACAGGATAGAACAAGTTAAAAACCACAAAGTCATTATTTTCTTGATTGTTTTTAAACTGAGGGTTCTAATAAAGGAAAATACCTCCCACCATGGACAAAGTGATATTGTAGTGACCAAAGGCCGTACAATTCAGTAGTGGTTTCATATATGTTTATTTTTGTTAAATGCCTTTACTCTATCCAGCAATGGGAAAAAAAGAGAAAATATATTATTTTAAATATCTACTAAGAATATATATTATCATGAATGCTACTAATTGTAAAACTGGAGTATACATTTTAGCCATAATAGTTCAGTGATGTAGATGTAAAATAACAGATGGAATTAGTATGCTGTAATACATTTGTTATTGGACTAACAGAATTTTGGAACAAGAAGCTTTTGGGAGATCCTCCCTTTCTTAAGTCAAATACCTAAAACCTTGTTGTTCCAAAATTCTGTTATTCCAATGAAAACTGTATTACAGCATACTAATTCCATCTGTCATTTTACAATTGTTAAACTTGAATCACTAACCTACAAACTGTACAAGATCAACCAGTGTAAGGGAAAATCACTGCCGCCTATTGATATTATACTTTGCTGTTTTCGTCATGAAGAACAAAATTTTAAATCACAGTATCTTCAATTCCCTTACATCAGACATCTACAATAAAACAATGACTTTACAAACTAACAAACAACAACAAAGTGATGTATAATAGAGCTAATATTTGGTCCTATATTGTTACAATATTTTTTTTCATACAATAAAATGAATGTCATTGTGTCCCACTATAAGCACAGCCTACAATCTCACAACTGTGTTTAGGTTTTCAATATTGCTGCGCTTAGTAGGATAAAAAGAATGATTGCATTATAGTACAGTAATGTATTTATATATTTGACAGTGCTGATATGTATTTCAACTGACAGTGCACAAATAGTATGTCAAAATGGTTTGTCAATCAGAATTCATGTATATTATGCTAGAAGAATGGCTGTGAAACCAGGCTAGCAAATATTTAAAATCAATACTTTTCATTCCTAGAACCAGATGCAGCCACAAGAAATGCAAAGCTAGCCATGCTATAGTGCAGGGATAGGCAACCTTGGCACTCCAGATGTTTTGGACTACACCTACCATGAACCTTTGCTTGCATTATGGCTGTAAAAGCATTGTGGGAGATGTAGTCCACAACATCTGGAGTGCCAAGGGTTGCCACCCCTGATACAGTGTATATATCATGTTTATCTCACTCAGCAAACTTCTAAAGATGCCAGGAGGGAAGAACTGAATTATAAAATACCGTGAGGACAGAATAGTAATTGGAATAGTAACTGCAGAAATATTTACTAGCCCTTTGGCTAGCACAATATCTAGATAAAGGTATTAGCATTTCAAACATCGATACAATCATGTTTAGCAAATTCCACCTCTCGTTGTGTTCCTGTATGCATAGAAAAATGAGCAGTGTTTTTCTATTGTAATTACAAACACATATTGGACCAGCAGCTCTCTAATGTGGAATAAAACATGCAATTTCCCTACACGGAAAGCACAACTTTTAACAGTGTAATTTTATCATGAGGGCGGCTATATCTGTTTGTGGCAGCGAACATGGGGCTGTGAGACATTAGACGTCAACCCAAAGCATAGGGCTCAGCACAAATGCCTCTAGTACACCCACATATAGAAATATACATGGGACTCACGGCTTGATAAACATCGTGGGAAACATAGTTCACAACAGGTGGAGTTCCAAGTTCCAAAGGTCAGAATGCATTGATCCAGAGCAATGAGTGCACCAGCACTGACCAGATACATGGGGACACACAGCTGGGCTCACTAAAGGTACTAAGGGCACACACAGAGCGCCGCCAGCCCCGCATGCACACAGCACTGTACACAATATTGGTTATATATAACAGGCTGACTGTAACCTGCGGATACACACAGAGCAGCATAAAACTGTGTCCGTGTACTATACACACTAGCAAGCATGGCTGGCCAAAAGGCAGATACCAGATGTGGAAAAAGTGCAACTCTCACTATTCTTGGTCATCCTGAAGGCTGTCAGAGTGTCACGAGAGTTCTACAAAATCTGAAGAACTATCTTGTGGTCACCCTAACACAGTGTACCTCCTTAAAGCATGCTGGGTAGATGAGGTAGGTCTCCCGGTGTACTCACCGCTGCTTGCCTGCTCAGACAGAGTGGATACCGAGGTCTGGCCCATCGCTTACAGCTCCCAAGCAGGGCCCTTGTCCGGCAATCATGCGTCTCTCTGGCACTCGGGGCCGTTCATTTCCTCCAGTAATAATCCCCAGGACTTCATTTCCCGGGCGGGCAGCTCTGCCCTGTCCCCTATGACCCGCTCCCAGCACAGTGTCCCCAGCCTGGTGCAGCCCGGTCTCCGGCTCCCAGCTGAATGCCTGTCATTCCTGGAGCAGATTACTGCGGGTCACAGGTCACGCACACTCACAGCCCCTGCCCCCTCCCTCACACCCACCCTCTACTAGCACTGCCCCTCTCTGCCCCTTACTGCTGGTACCCTGTCACTGCCCTGGGCTACTCTCTGTGCCGGTCTGTGCCCAGTCTGGGTCTTCTATTAGTTCCCAGGCTGTCTGCCTGCTTGTCTAACTTTACTCCTCTGCTACTTACATCAAATACTGCCCATCCACCCCTAACAGCCTGATACACCAAATACTGCCCTTCCACCCCTAACAGACTGCCCCTCAACCCCTAAGAGCCTAATACTGGCCTCCACCCCTTACAGCCTACTACTTGCACCAGATATTGCCCCTCCATTCCAGTAGCCTGCTACCAACGCCAAATACTGCCCCTCCACTCCAGTAGCCTGCTACCAACGCCAAATACTGCCCCTCCACTCCAGTAGCCTGCTACTAACACCAAATACTGCCCTCGACCTTACTTACTCCAAGACCTGCCCTGTGCCCCCTCCATCATTAACAGCCTGCTACTTACACTAAGTGCTGCCCTGTGCCTCCTGTACCCCGAACAGCCTGCTGCTTACACTCTGGCAGCACTGTGCCCCTCGCCCGTGCAGACTCTCTTTCCTAAATCTCTTTCTTTCTTTCTCCCACCCAGTCGTCTTGTGCACTTCCTTCCCTCACTTTCTCATCCCCCTGCTCTCTTACCACCAGAACAACTAAACAAAGACTTCTCTGTGAGCTGTACAAGTGTTAGAAGCAAGAAAATAAGAGCTTGCTTGCCAAGATTGGATTGTTGATATGCTAATATTTGTGACACTTCAGACTGGTTCTTTATTCATAAATGCATTTAATCCTATTACTATAGTCGGACAATCTTTAACTTTTCTTCTTTTTCTTTTCTAGTTCTTTTTACAGAGTGAATGAGTTGGTATTTGCATCTAAGTGTTGCATTTGTTGCCAGTATTTCTTTAGTTAAAATGAGGAACATTGTGGTGACAGTTACCCATACTTGCCAACGGTCACATACTAACATGGGCAGTCCCTATTGTTATTCTTCTATGCTTGATGTGTACTGTATAGCACAATATTTTAAGCATTACTTTGGTGAAATACTGTTTGTTTTGTTTCGTCCTCTGATCTCATGTTTAGCTAGCACTATAAAGCTGTTTAGTGTTGACATTATAGCTATTATTATTTTTATTATTTATATAGCGCCAGCAAATTCCATAGCGCTGAACAATGGGTAGCTATAAAACTAGTGTCACACATATGGATGCTTCATGATGCTTTATTCTGCCTGCTCCCATTGTTTGTATCTCTATGATAATCATTATTTTCACTTCTACTTTCTTGGTAAAGAATATAAAAATATGATCGAAATTATCTTGAGGTATATACACATTTAGCTTGTTTACTTAAGTTTTACTTCACAGAAAATAGTGTATAATGAGTTTAATCAAGGTGCTCTATGATGCAGGCTATTAAACAGTAAAGTGACAATATAACGATATGTCTTAAAAATGCATGTTAACATTTTTAAATGTTGCCTTTATCCCAAGTGCTCTATTCACTAAGCACTGATTTGTGATGACTTACTTACAAAATGTAGGTTAAAATGGATAAGTGGAAAAATATCTCCAATTAAGTAAATTTGGAGTTTATTTTCAAATTGGTCTAATTTTGTCTACATTTTGCAAACTGGCTTATATCTAAATAAGTCACTATTTAGTAAATAATCCCATGTCTCTTTTATTCTATATATTTTTTGTATGCTTTAAGATAGGAATAGAATAAATATGCTGCAAGACCAATTTGCATATCTCCCAACAGTCCCGTATCAGGATTTCTGGCTCCTTGGACCATCCCGGGTTAGTTCCTAGAGAACAGATCAAAGAAAGTGCATCACGCCCTAGCACTTTGCTGAACTAAGTCGACACTAGGACCATGCAGAGAGAACAGCACTGTGACAGACCGCCTGGCACCCCGACCAGATGTCTCCGCCAACCAATGCTCCTAGTGCTTACCGAGGACTCCAAGCACTCTACCCAACACCATCAGCACTGTATTAACTCAATTATCTCCAGGCAGAAAAAACACATATTTTTGTAAAACCCCCAAAGTACCCCAAAACACATCAAATCCCCACAATTGTTACATCCCCCTGATAGCCCTGATCTGGGTGACCAACATATCCAAAAATCACCCAGATCAGTTCAGGGGTTCAGAAATTTTATGGAAGTCATGTATTTGACTGTATCCGATTTTAGTTCCATGAGATTCATGCCCAAACACCGCTGTCTGCGTTCATGCGAACAAGATGGCCGCCACCTCATGGTTTTCCATAGGAATTGCGGCCACCCAGTCGAAAAATTAGAACACTGCAGTGAGAAACATTCCAAGTTGTTAATAGGTGTTAACAAGCTCCAGGGTGGTCTCTGGTTCATGTGGTTGTACGGTAATTTGAAGTGCTGCTTCTAATTGCTTTGGGAGTTCGAAGTGCTGCTTCACAAGTCCAAAAAGGCACAAATAGTGTTTTCAAATAGGGTTTAATACAGGGTCCACAGTCACAGGGTAGGAGGCTGGCAAAAAGGCCCCTTCAAGAACCAGTGGCAAGGTTATTTTCGCCACAAGCACTCTGCTCTGAACAGAGCCGGCCAGGAAGACTTTCTGCCAGCCTTCTCTGGGAGGCCCTGTCCCCTTTCCAGGCGATAATGCTCATTTGGGGCATTGCCAGTAGCATCACCAGTGGCGTACCTAGCGTATGGCAGGTATTGCATGTGCTGTGCCACCTGCCTTGGTGGGTGCTGTGCTCTCTAGTAAGTCAGAGCGCACTCTGGCTCGCTGCACTCTGCATCCACTGGTGAAGAAAACCTGACGCTCTCCAATGGGTCATCAGGACTTCTGTTAGACCACCAGGCAGACTCCCATCTTTTAGATCATTAATCAAAGATCAGGAGCTGGACTCCTCCAAAAGAGCCAAAAGTGGGTGCAAAACCGACCCCTGCTAGACCACTAGGGAGTATGACCTCCCCATTGGACCACAAGGAATCATAGCCCCCTTAATTGAAGAAAGCCAAGCAAAGGGGGCCACACAGAGAATGTCCTCACGGCCACAACACACACAAATCACATACATCAGCCCACACATTACATACTGCCAGCGTGCGCGCACACACACAGCTTGAATTTCTGAGCTGATATTATGGTAACGTTATCTAAAAGATGGATTTGCTGAGAACACTTATTTTATTTTTTTGGCTTGCATCTGAATTTAATGATGGTAGTAGTATGCATTATTAATGATTTTCACTCATGTATTATCTCATGTTAAAGGGACACTATACTCCCCAGAACAACTACAGCTTGTATTGGACAGACTAGATGGGTCGAATGGTTCTTATCTGCCGTCACATTCTATGTTTCTACGTTTCTATGTTCTGGTGAGAACAAATACAACAAGCCCTTCAGGCTTTTTGCAGTAAACACTGCCTAGTGATAACTCCACTGTCCACTCCTCAGATGGATGCTAGAAGTGCTTCCTGGGGCCATTCATTGTCTCCACCCTTTGCACGGAGACACTGAAATTGATTCAATTGATTCAATGCATCTCTATGAGGAGATGCTGACTGGCCAGGGCTGTGTTTGGCTTGCTCTGGCTGTGCCCCTGATCTGTCTCCTTGACAGTCTCAGCCAATCCAATGCTTTCATATGTGCAAGGCCGGCCCAATGCATTGTGCTGCCTGGGTCCAAGGGCAAAATGCTGCCCCCTTCTCACAAAACCTAAACCACGCCCACATTCATTATGTTATGCAGTGTGTGTAGTAAATGCAGTGACTGTATAGTGGATGCAAAGTGTGTGTTTGTGAAGTGGATTTAGTGTGTGTATTGTATGCAGTCTGTGTAGTGAAAGCATTGTATGTGTGTACAGTGGATGCGGAGTGTGTGATTGTGTATTGCAGTGGATGAAGTGTCTGTGTGTATTGTACACAGTGTGTGTAGTGAACGCATTGTCCGTGTGTGTATAGTGGATGCAGTGTGTATAGGAGCTGCAGTCTATGTGTTTGTGTAGTGGATGCAGTGTCTTTGTTTATGCAGTGCATGTAGTGTGTGTATTGTATGCAGTGCATGTGTAGTGAATGTTTTGTTTGTGTGCATAGTGGATGCAGTGTGTATAGTGTATGTAGTGTGTATATTATATGCACTGTGTGTGTATATGATGTACGCAGTGTGTGTAGTGAATGCATTGTGTGTGTATAGTGGATGCAGTGTGTGTAGTGCATATAGTGTGTGTAGTGTATGTATTGTATGCAGTGTGTATAGTGGATACAGTGTGTGTGTAGTGCATATAGTGTGTGTCATGTGCGTGTAGTGCTCGTGTAGTGCATGTAATATGTGCGTAGTGCATGCAGTGTGTGGTGCATGTAATGTTTGTATTGTATACAGTGTGTGTAGTGAATGTATTGTGTGTATGTGTGTATAGTGGAGGCAGTGTGTGTAGTGAATGCATTGTGTGTGTGTGTGTGTGTGTGTGTATAGAGGATGCAGTGTGTTTGTAGTGCATATAGTGTGTGTGGTGCATTTAGAGTGTGCAAGTAGTGTGTGTTTTAATGGATGGTGAGCAGTGTTTTTTATATTTAGCTATATTTATTCTTCCCTCCCTACCTCATACCTGTGGGTAGGTAGGAAGGATACTTAACCCCCTCATGGTCCGGTGGCTCAGTAAAGCTGGAAGATAGTGAAGAGGGGGCCCAGAACTGTAATCTCCACTCCAGCAGCAGCAGGTACTGTCCACTCCTCCCACAAGCCGAGAGAGCGGAGCTGCTGAGTTGCCACTGCAACGCTCCAGCATGCTTGAGGGAGGAGCGGACAGTACTGGCTGCTGCTGGAGTTGAGATTATAGTTCTGGGCCCCCTCTTAATGAACAAATGCTGTAAGTATATTTCTATATCAGTTATCACTATAGATATATGCATAGGCGGCCCGGGCCCCTTACAGCAGATTTCTTAAACGTACAGTGGCGGCAAAATGCCACCCCTGTGAAAGAGCCACCTGGAGCCACCGGGACCAATGGGCGGGCCTGCCCTGCATATGTGAAGGCATTGTGATTGGCTCAGATCCTCACATCTGATGATGTCAGCCATGCAGTCAGATCAAGGGCAGAGCCAGCAGCAGCAGACTGAAATAAAGGTAAGATTTTGCTATATTTAGGAGGGGCAAGAGAAAGCCAGGGAGCTAGATGGTGTTTTTAACACTATAGAGTCAGGAATACATGTTTGTGTTTCTGACCTTATAGTGTTCCTTTAATTATTGCTTCATTGCACTTCCTATATATACACATTATGTATTTTGTGGTGTTAGTGTGACAAAGACCCATTTGTGGGTCGAAACGTTGCTCTGCTCACTGTGTCCAAATAAATTTGCCTGTTTTTGAGCCTTGGTTTGCCTGAACCTCTTTTTTCGATTATTTGATGTGTTGGAGTAGTGCTGGCCTCTAGGTCGGTTTTGCACCCACTTTTGGCTTTTTGGAGGAGTCCAGCTCCTGCTCTTTGATTACTGATCTAAAAGATGGGAGTCAGGTGTTTGCACAAGGGCACAATTTCCGTGCTTGTTATAGGTGTTATTTGTAGTAGATACATCACTGTTGGAAGGTATGATATTGCTAATGTGTGCTGCTGCCATGGTTTCCATGGGTATGATGGCTTACATTATGTCATATGCCAGCAACTAATTTTGTGGTAGCGGCTACATCAATACCTTTAATTATATCATACACTATTTCCAGATAATGATACTTCTATGTAGTGCAGAGAAGTGTGAAAGATGTACAGGGGGATTTATTATTATTATTATTATTATTATGATATTTATAGAGCGCCATCAAATTCCACAGCACTTTACAATGAGTGGATGAACAGACATGTAGTTGTAACCAGACAAGTTGGACACACAGGAACAGATGGGTTGAGGGCCCTGCTCAATGAGCTTACATGCTAGAGGGAGTGGGGTAAAATGACACAAAAAGGTAAGGATAGTATTAGACTAGTGACAGTTGCAGAAGAGGAATCAGTCAGGAGCACATTGAAACGCTTTTATTAAGAAGTGGGCTTTTAACGATTTTTTGAAGGAGTGGAGACTGGGTGAGCATCTAATGGAGCAGCGAAGCAAGTTCCACAGGAACGGTGCAGCCCTCGAGAAATCTTGAAGGCGAGCATCAGAGGTGGGAGTACGGACAGAAGATAGACGTAAGTCTTCAGCAGATCGTAAGGGCCTAGACGGGACATACTTGTGTATAAGGGAGGATAGATAGGTGGGAGCAGCATTATATAGAGATTTGAAAGCAAGAAACAGAATTTTAAATTGAACTCTATATTTTATAGGAAGCCAATGTAGGGACTGACAAAAGGGTGAGGCATGGGAGGTGCGGGCGGACAGGAAGATGAGCCTCGCTGCCGCATTCATTATGGACTGTAACGGTGCAAGTTGGGAGCACGTAAGACCACTGAGAAGCGGATTACAGTAGTCAAAGCGAGAAAGGACAGTCGAATGGACCTTAGTCGCATCTGGCGTTAAGTAGGGGCGGATGCGCGCAATGTTTTTGAGATGGAAATGACAGGATTTGGCGATAGATTGAACAAGGAGAGGTCGAAGTCAAAGAGAACACCTAGGCAGCGAGCCTGCGTGGTGGAGCTGATGGTAGCATCGTTGACTTGGAGGGAGATAGACACAGGAGTAACAACACTTGAGGGAGGAAAGACCAAAATTTAAGTTTTGGTCAAGTTTAGTTTAAGGAAGTGGGCAGCCATCCAGTTAGAAACAGCAGAGAGACAGTCAGAGACACTAGTCAAGAGGGACGGGGAGAGATCAGGAGAGGACAGGTAGATTTGCGTGTCATCTGCATAGAAATGATATTGGAAGCCAAAGGAGTTTACCAAGGGAGGCAGTATAGATGGAGAACAGTAGGGGACCAAGGACTGAACCTTGGGGGACACCAACAGAGAGGAGTTGGGGAGAAGAAGCAGAGCCAGAGAAAGAAACACTGAAAGAGCGCTGGGAGAGGTAGAAAGAGCACCAGGAGAGAGCAAATCTCTTGTAGACCGATATTGCAGAGGATGAGAAGAAGCTGTTGATGATCAACAGTGTCAAAAGCCGCAGACAGGTCAAGGAGAATTATGATAGAGTAGTGACCACGAGATCATTGGATACTTTGGTCGGTGCCATTTCCACAGAGTGCTTAGCGGGGAAACCAGACTGAAGCGGGTCTAGCAGAGAGTTGGACTCGAGGAAGTCTGTCAATCTTGCATACACAATTTTTTCAAGGATCTTGGATGCAAAAGGCAGTAGCGAGATAGGACGATAGTTGGATGGGGAGTTAGGGTCAAGATTGGGCTTCTTTAGAACTGGGGTTACAGTTACATGTTTGAAGGGCAATGGAAATATACCAGAGGAGAGAAAGAGATTGAGAATTTTAGTGAGAGGTGGAGAAAGAGAAGAAGACAGAGTACGGATGAGATGCGAGGGAATTGGATCTAGGGAGCAGGTGGTGGGACCGGATGACTGGAGCAAGAAGAAACCTCTTCCAATGTAGCGGGTCCGAATGAACATAGAACAACAGAGGGAGTGAAGTTAGGAATTTAATGGGAAATGCACATGGATGTGCAGGAAATTCACAGGTAAAGGTGTGGGAATGCCCAAGTGATGAATTGTGAGCTGCATGTGGGAATTTGAGTAAAATGCACATGTGGACGAGATGCAAAGAGGAGGATTTGCGGGAGATATACAGAGTCCTCCATAGGGAATATGCACTGCAGAATGTGGATGAGATGCAGAGAGAGGATATGTGATATTCCACACAGAGAAAGTGAGGGAAATGCATGGTGAGGGTTATTTGTGTGTGATGAACATGGGGGATGTAGGAAAGATGCATTAGAAATTATGAGGAGGGATCAGGGCTGGACTGGGATGAAAATTTAGCCTGTCATTTAAAGGCAGAGCAGCCCAACACGAGAAAGGCGGTGATTGTGTATGTTGTGCAGCCCATGGGCAGAGCCCTGCTGAAGAGCTTTGAAATAGGAAGATGCACTATGTCTGTTTAGCGCAGTGCAAGCAAATTTAATGACATGTTTGCTCTGCCTTTGCTGGAGACTAGTCAATACTATCCCATAATTACTATCCTATAAGTGGAATACCAAAGGACAACCCCATCCTCTCACTCCTCTCTCTGTATCCTTTGTAATAAAGTGAAGGCAGAGAGGCCTTTAACATTTAACCCCAGGGGAAGTACGTGTTGTATGTGTGGTGTGCAACACAAAGCTACGTTTAGTTATGGGCCCCTGGGGTGGAGCATTTGGAGAGCAGGGTGGGCCAATGCTCCACTCATCAGATTATACACATATGGGAGAAATAAGTTCCAGGCCAGAGTTTTTTGGAACTGTCTCCAACCCACTGATTAGCTGTAGATAATCAGCTGTAGCAGTGGGAATAAAACCCTCCCTGCTGGGCAGGTAAAGGGGGATTGCTGGCTTCCTCCCTGGAAGCAGGTAGGAGAGAGGCTGTTCTCTCCAGTGAGAGAGTCAAGGAGACTGAGCACTGGGAGTGCAGAAGGAAAGCAGTTACTGGGAGCGCAAAAGGAAAGCAGTCAAGGCTGGCTTGGAGCACTGGGAGTGCAGAAAGGAAAGCAGTTAAGGCTGGCTTGGAGCACTGGGAGTGTAGAAAGGGAAGCAGCAGGCTGACTAAACATTGGAGTGCTGAGAGCTGACAAAGACACTAGGTTGGTGAAACCAATATTATTTTGTTATAGTTTAACCCCTGAGAGATAGGGAATCTGATGTAAGTTAGTGCTCAGACGAGCTAGGTTTTTGTTTATAGGGATTTGTGTTATATTTATGTTTTCATTTACTGCTGTCTCTGTGGTAAAGCTCAACAATAAAGTACCTGGAATTAAGTTACTTTTAAAGACTGTGCATGTTTGTACCCTAAAGGACCGTGCTATCTGCAACCAAGGATCACACTTTCCATAACTCCCAACCATCCTTCCCTTTTCCTCCAGCCATCATTTCCCAACACCTCCCTTGATCAAGCCATCACAGTGTGCAGTGTGCTGCACTGCCCCAGGAAGCACCTCTAGTAGCCATCTGAGGAGTGGCCAGGCCCTAGGCTGTAATGTAAACACTGCATTTTCTCTGAAAATTATCTCACCAGGACAAATACAACAAGCTGTAGTTGTTCTGATGACTATAGTGTCCCTTCAACCTGTTAGATTTAGACCGTGCCTGTATTAAACCTTACTAACTATGTAAGATCCCTAAACATTGTTTTGTATACTTACATATATTAATATACATTTATTATATCTTGTAGTCCCTTTAAGGGAGGACCACAATGTCCATGTCAAAAAGCAGTAAACCCCAAAGGGAATAACTTTTTATGTTTTTTTCTTTGAAATAATAACCATTTTCTCCAATGCAAAAAGTGATGTGTGAATGGTATTTGACTCATAAAATATGAATGCATCCACTTTCATTAAACCCATTTCACAAAAGCTGGAATAGGCAAATATCAGTTTGCTATTAAGTTCACTTCCCAGCAGATCCCCTTAAAGAGCCACTAAAGGGAATTAGTGTCAATACACATAGATAAAAGTAAACAATGATGAGCAGATAGATCTCAGCTGTACATTTTTTAAGGGTCAGTAATGCCTTAAAGTGTACCTGTCAAGCAAGAATGACATGCTATCACTTCAATATATTGATTACCTTTCTTCAGTCTATTCCTCTTCTCTTCCTCAGTCTTAACATATTTTTCTTTTGTTCATTTCTGATCTTTTCCTCCTAAAATACATAAGGTAAAGTAAGAACTACTTTGTCTTATGTATTTTCTGCTCTTGATAGGAGGCAGATACACAGCTGTGGAAGAAAAGCATCATCTCTCTCATCATGAGACAATATCTATGGAGGCTCCCGTGGTCTGGGGGGATCCCCGATAGACATCAGTGTTATTATTATTATTATTATTATTATATTATTTATATAGCACCAACAAATTCCGTAGTGCTGTGTGTTGTACTCTTGCACATGTGAGAGAGAACAGTACTGTGATGGGTTGGCTCCTTGACAATAGCTGAAGAAACAAGATGGCAGCACCGGCAGATCACTGCGTCATGTAAATATATCTCAAAATATGCAAAGACCCCAGAAGGTGACAGAGCCACTTTACTAGCACTTTTTCAGTGCATCTACTTAATATTGATTCATGCAGCAGTCATCCTTAAGTCCTCTTTAGTCAAACGCAACATTTATTCTCCAAAATTACGCAAAATGTGAACAGCTGAAACAAGTATAACCAGCACTTGTATATGATGCCAAGATTCATGAATGCACATTGGTCTAAATTACCTACATGGTCTTGGGGCAGATACGCAGTGCTACTGACAAAAGAAGACTTAAAATGGCCGCCTTAATAATGCATACATATAACAAATTTATATACAAATGCCATACCCATCATCTTTTGTTTTAAATGATAGCAAATATGATAGTAATAAAAATTGAAATTATTAAAAATAAATACTTTATCCAACTATCCATTACTGTAGACTAGAACAGATAGTTTCATTATGAAAAAAGAAAATAACAACCAAGGTCCCGAATGTGATTTATAATAATTCTATTAATAAAATGTATTCAATATGTGTCAATGAGCCTTGACAATTTACCTACTGTTACAAAAATTGTTTCTATCTCTGCAACTTGGACTAAAATAGGCACAGTCAACTACAGATTTAGTCCACCAAGGCTAACCTAAAATATAGATTTTTATAGAAACATAGAATGTGACGGCAGATAAGAACCATTTTGCCCATCTAGGCTGCCCAACTTTCTAAATACTTTTATTAGTCCCTGGCCTTATCTTATAGCTAGGATAGCCTTATGCCTATCCCAGGCATGCTTAAACTCCTTTACTGTGTTAACCTCTACCACTTCAGCTGGAAGGCTGTTCCATGCATCCACTACCCTCTCAGTAAAGTAATACTTCCTGATATTATTTTAAAACCTTTGCCCTTCTAATTTCAGAGTATGTCCTCTTGTTGTGGTAGTTTTTCTTCTTTTAAATATAGTCTCCTCCTTTACTGTGTCTATTCCCTTTATGTTTTTAAATGTTTCTATCATATCCCTCCTGACACGTCTTTCCTCCAAGCTATACATGTTAAGTTCCTTTAACCTTTCCTTGTTTTATCCTGCAATCCATGAACCAGTTTAGTAGCCCTTCTCTGAACTCTCTCTAAAGTATCAATATCCTTCTGGAGATATAGTCTCCAGTACTGCATACAATACTCAAGTGAGGTCTCACCAGTGTTTTGTGTAGTGGCATGAGCACTTCCCTCTTTCTACTGCTAATACCTCTCCCTAAGCAACCAAGCATTCTGATAGCATTTGCTGCTCTGTTACATTGTCTGCCTACCTTTAAGTCATCAGAAATAATCACCACTAAATCCCTTTCCTCAGATGTTGAGGTTAGGACTCCATCAAATATTCTGTACTCTGCCCTTGGGGTTTTATGTCCAAGATGCATTATCCTGCACTTATCCACATTAAATGTCAGTTGCCACAACTCTGACCATTTTTCTAGTTTACCTAAATCATTTGCCATTTGGCTTATCCCTCCTGGAACATCAACCCTGTTACGTATCTTAGTATCAGCAGCAAAACGACATCCCTTACCACCAAGACCTTCTGCAATATCACTAATAAAAATATTAAAGGGAATGGGTCCAAGTACAGATCCCTGAGGTACCCCACTGGTGACAAGCCCATGCTTTGAATATACTATACTAATAAGATTATTTTATCATGATCTCCCTGAAGTAAACTCATGTTGTCTCTGATCTTGAAATCCATGTTATTCTAGATGTTCAACAATCCTATCATTTAACATGGTCATATGCGATGTGATTTCTAAACCATTTTTGTGTTATATAATACATTTACTATGTTTTGATCATTTATTGTACAGAATAAAACAATTCTACACATTATGTATAAAATAAAAAAACCTGTATTCTTCAATACAATGATCAGGCTCCTGGACTATTTTAAAATGCCAACTGACAGTCTCCCAGGGTAAATATTCTCAATGTGAGACCAGCTTGCAGATACATTTTCTGAAGATCAACTAATTAATTATGACATATTGTGAAAACATTTATATATTTATTTTTTTTACAATCATTTTAACTTTTAATTCAACCACAGATGGTGTTAAAAATCATTATGTGAAACTCAACAATGCTCCACTGATGGTTTCCCAACTGGTGTGTCAATGCCCTCAGGGAAAGTGGTGGATGATGTCTAGCGTTATGTGACCTGTTGGGACATAGGCTCAGACCTTGCTACTGCCTTGTTCAAGAACCCATGTTTGTATGTTGCCATTGGTAAGACCAAATTCACGACTTGCTTTACACGTAAAACTTGACATTTGTATTTATTTTTGTACGGTCCATGTTGATGTATATTTAATAGCGTACGAATAACCATGGCAACGAGCTATATATAGCTGTGATGTCCTAAAAATAAATAGCTTCACTGAAATCCCAGGTGTACAGTAAAATAATGGCTCCACACCTGCGTCATCTCACATTTTCCACAGATACAGATTTATTACATATGTAGCTAATAAATATATATATAAAAGTACTTTTGCAATTTAAAAGTGATTTATTTCATTTTTGGTTTGCTCGGCATATTTTATTTATAGTTCTGCTACATTTATAAAGGTTTCTTTGAAGTTGGATATCATATTTTTTTCTCATATTTGTTCTTAGGATTTCAATCTTTAACAGAATGGAAATGATTTAGCTCCCTTATTCATCATACATCTATCCACCAGCAAAAGAAATCACAGATGTCCTTTCAAAACATAGGTAGCTATAAAAAGCCCCAAAGCAGTTCACACAAACTTTTAAAGCGTCCACATTTTACTCACTAATGAGAGACAGGTTTCATATAAAGTAATAATCTTTGTACATCCAACCAAGTGAATCACTTAAAAAAATTCCGCCGCATTGACACCTATTATGTAATAGACATGACACTATTACTGATCAGCACTTTTTTTCTACAATGTCATAGAAAAGAATACAAACGAATTGTAAAACTTCACAAAATATAACATTCTAAATAGGTTTTAACAATTTTACAATTGAGAATCAGTAACAGCAACAATAGTGAACTGGACTATTTAAAAGTAGATCAATCGAAACCCCAAATCTATAAAATGGGAAGACAAGGTCAGATGTGCATTAAAATGCATTTAATATATGTATTATGCTGTTGAAAACACCAGCAAATGTATGGAATAAAACATATAACTCAAGGAAATCAGTCTAGATGAAAATGCTTGTTCTTGGGTAGAACATTGGCTTAAAAATAGAGAAAAAGAGTTGTCATT